CCTTAAAGGACACCTATGCCCTGACATAGTTTATAATGCATTTTTAAGTTACTTGTATTCCTGAGTTATCTGTGATTTATTCATGGTTAAATAATTCCTGTTTACACAGTAGATGATATCTTGTGAAGATAAGAGTTTCTCAAGACTGGTGGAGATAATACACTACTAATACGCTTCTTGTCGAATATCTAGTTATTTTCCTCTGTTACTTAGTTCTGGTTTTTGATATATATCATCACTCACTTGTGCGATATGAAACTGTACATAATAATATGCATCTCCATACAATCATCCACAACTTTGTTTTCCTGTACTACACAAGTAAGATACTATAACTTGAATGACTGGAAATACCACAGTCCAACAGGATTCCCTAACATGTCTGTGATACATCAAGCAGTTGTTGGCTAGTCATTATTACAACCATCTCTGATGGAAGACTATCCATTATGCGCCTGGAGAAACCACATCACTGTTTACTGCTGACCTGGCGAGTTCCTGACTTTCTGTTCTGTGTTCTGCCTGTACTCAGAAAATGTTATTTTTCATTGTTTTTTCCTGTACTTCTGCTCCTCTCATTCTTTTCTCTCACAACTTACACCTTTAGAGCTTTTATTACATACTGTGATGTCAGACAAAGAATTGCAGTACAACCAGAAATGTACAGGAGTGATGTTGAAAGACTGAAGTTTCGTTGGAGGCTGCACTTCCACTCTTGCTCTTAAGATGGTAGCCTAAACTTGGGTATGGAATCCATGCATTTTGTTTTTGCTGTTGCTGAAATGACAGAATTTCTCTTGTGATTTCTGAAGTGCGAATTTTTTAAGAGCAAATTCTTATGAGAAATAAGGTGAAAGATTTTTGTGAATTGGAGCAAAAAATAGAAAATGTCATTTTATTTTTAAGGTTTGAGCATATATGTGACTCATAAAGAATACATAGAACAAGACAGGGAGAAAAATGCAGTAGAAGAAGAAGAGCTTCTGAAATGGCCTGGCAGCCTGTGGCTCTGATGCTGTCCTTAAGACAGCAAAACATTTGTCCAAGCAGAAGGGTTGGGGCAATACTTATCTCTGGCATAGACAACTTGGGTTGTCTATAGGCTAGCCAAGACAACCTGGCTATTCAGTGGCTGTACAATGCTCTGAAGATGTGTTAAGCATCTTGTTATGCTACTTTCTTTGTCTAACAGATGCTTAACGTGGATTTGGGAAGAAAACTTGGAAAGCAAATGTAAAAGAGAATTTCAATTCATCATAATAAATAAGTTGTCTTCCCTTTTTTTCCTTTCTCATGGAAGTTTTCCTGATACCATTTATTACATATTTTTCATAAACAGAAACCTTTAAAATCTTTGCAGAAGATAAAAACGGGGGGCTTCTACCATGTGCAGTTAATATTGTTTCTCCTTTAGATTCAACTGGCTTCCTTGCTTTTACAATGCCTTTTATCTTCTCCATTTGCTGCTAATCACAATTCCTATTCTCACGGATTTTGTGAAAGACTAGGATTACATTTATATCTTTGTAATAACTTTAAATTATCACCCAACTCTTGCAATTTGCCCCCCTCTAAAGAAATTGTGAGAGAAAAACAGAGAAAGAGAAAAAAAGAACATGCACTCCTGTCCTGATTTGTCACCAGATAAGCACATTGGATTCAATCCTACATACCTTCAGCACTCCAAATTTCCAGGAAGGTTAACAGGAATTTTGTGAGAACATGGAATGTAAGGGTCAGGGCCATTCAGAAGGAAAGGAATCCATGCCATGTACTGTGCAAATTACGTCTGTCTCTACATTAGCAATGAAATTACTTTTATAATACGTCAGGTAATAGTCATTTTGATTTATTTTTGAAACTGAGGAGCTGGCTGGGATGAAGAGAAAACTGGAGACTATGTAGAAAATTTTTCCTGTAGTCTTTTTCTATAATTTTTCTCTAATAATTTTTCCTTTTCAGGCATGTTGCTGGAAAAGGCTAACTTAAGTTCCAGGGTCACCAAAAGTCAGTTCATTCATACTTGGCTATTCAGATTTATGCTAGGGTTTTTTTTGGTGGTTTGATTTGTTTTGTTTTATTTTGCTTTTAATCTAGGCTGACCTAAAAGAAAATAAGTGCACTATAAAAAAGTGTAGAGTGGTGTCTCTGGCAAGATCACAAACCCCAGTGGCAAAACTGGCCTTCTTGTTCCCTTTTATTTGTAGCAGGTATGTGAAAACAGGAATTCCTTGGTAGTTGCTGAAGTATTTCCACATACTGGCTTGCCTACACAGTTTCTATAGCTCTGCAAGGGGGACATCCTAACTGTGCCACATGCAATATTGATACATCCCCTAGAACCACGAGGTGACTGAACTGCACAGAATCAACATCATCCTATCATTGCCAGTCAGCAAACATAATTTTGTGTTGTTTGACACTGTGGTGTGAGGATCACATATGGCCAGGTCACGGTTTGTATTTCTTCATGCTTGCCTTGCTACTCATGGTCTATGGACACTAGAGGGAAATTGTGTGTAAGGTGATTTTGACATCGGCCTTCAATAGGGCCAAGCTGGAATCAAAAGATTCCAGGAATCAGGTCAGTCAGAATCAGTCCAAATCAGAAACAAGAGAAGTCAAGACACACACCAGGAAAGGGCATCACTGGCAGCCAGGATAAAGACCCTATTTGCAGTAGGACTCTGGAATAGAGCTAGAATAATGTCAGGAGCTAAAGGTAGGCCTTGAGAATGAGGGCTAAGAGCCTGAGTCACATTATGACTCGGGAGCTGTGGAGAGGGATACAAAGAGCTAAAAAGCAGATCTCAGGTATGTGGGCAACCCCATACACCAAAACTGTACAGAATTACAATCCATCCCTTAACTACTAGGCCTTATCAGGTCCTTAGTTTTTGAAAAATTGTTTACAGCCTCCAGCTAGACTGAACATCCAACAGTGCTTCAGAAATATGGCCATGATTTGACAAAGAGACTTTGGTCCATGCAATATTCATACACATTTCATCCATCTTTCATCTCTCTATTGAAAATTATGTCTATCATGGATTACAAGAAAACACTCTTTTGCAGTATTAAGACTTTATATCCACTGAGTGGGTAGGCAAAACTATTGAGTCAGGTTTACTGTGATCTGAAGCTATAATGAGAGCTGCAATGAGCCCCCCAGGGCAATATGAGAAGTCCACCTGAGATATTGGTTTGCAGTTGTTTGAACTGCCGTGGCTGCTGGAGCTGGTGCCTTCATGGCTAGCTGAGAACTCACTGTTACTCACCTCTTGTACCTTGGAGCTGCTGGGTGGCAGTAGCTCTACTGCCCAGAAGAGGGTGTAATGTGTCACTTCTCACTTGTCCTGCTGATACCAGTCTTCTAGGGCTTTTATTCCTTGGACAGATGGTAGAAAGTATTCTCTGCTTGGGAGAACAGCCCAGGGAAATGGAGACTGTGTTTGTCTATCATAAGCACTTAACACTTGAGTGTCTAAATACCTTTCTCAACTTTAAATGGAGTTGCTTCCTCCCTTCAAGAATATTAGGAGGGATACATTATTGATATTGTTAAAACACCCTCATATTTTGCTCATATTTGCAGGTGTTGCTCGTAACATCTGGCTGATGTTAGACTCAGCTCTTGATGTAGCAAGTAATAAATCTTTCCCATTATGACAGTTTAACTTGACCTTTCCTAGTAGAACTGGACAATTCAGTCAATCTTACATTTTAGGATACGATTCCTCAAGTTTGCCTTAAAGCATAACTCCCATGTGGCGAGTTATGTTTTTATAGGATGGAATATATAATGAGTTTACAGAACTTTGGAAGTGAATCCTGGTTTGGTAAGTCTAAGTAACCTCTAAATAAATCAGGTGTTTTAAAGAGATGACTCAGACCTATTGCTTTACACACTTTCCTCCCTTACCTACTGAGTCTGCCTAGGTGCAGGCAGCCTGAACAGAATCCTTTACCATTACAGCAGAAGTAAGAATGAAGAGACATTTCTGTTTCTTCAAGATGCAAGAATATCAGGGCAAGCCTCTAGGGAAAGAAGATTACAATCTAGGAGCTTTTCTTTTTTTCTTTATTTCTCCCACATAGCTTCTTCCCAGGAAGAAGGATGTCTCCTCTCTTCATTTTGATACTTTGTCTACTGCTTTGCAGGAATCCCCTCATGACTTTGATGACGTTTTTCTATACCAAAACCCAGGGTTTATTTTAAATAGAAATTTTCGTCCCTTTCCTAACTAAGCTTTTCTGGAATAAATGTGAAGAAATGTGAAGAAACGATAAAAGACTATAGACATTAAAAGAAAATGAAATAAGTAAAGTTTACACATTAATCTACATAAACTGTTCCAACTTGTGAAGTGATTTTGTTTGACGCAGAGAAGGTGGAGTCTATAATGATAATTTCTTTAATGGGATTTGCAGACAGTTGGAGTGGGAGGTGTGTCCTTCTCTATACTACCTTCGCAGATCACAGTGTCTTTTAGGGCACGTTCCCACATGTTCACTCACCTAGAAGGTGTTTTGCCTGACTTGTTCAGCTGTCTAGTTCAAAATTGCTTAGATGTGGCTTTCCAGAGGCATTCAGAGATATATAAGGAGGATGATTACTTCTAAATTCTAGACTTCAGAAACGAAATACGAGAAGCCTAGGACGTTGATGCTGTATGAATTCTTCAGTGCTGTATAGGGTCTTTGTGAGGGGTAAGACTGCTGGCGAGATACTTCTAAGTCAGACACACCTTTGGGTTGGGCTATTTTGGAAACTTAGTAATTGATGAGGCTCAAGGTATGGTCTGCTAGGGACAAGTGATTTTATTTTGTGTTTTTACATGTACTTTGATCAGCTGATGCAGCTGACAGACAGTCTCCTCTGTAAGTAATAGACTGGGGGTGGAGGAGTGGTGACCTGTAGTGAGCCTTTCCTGATTTTTTTCAAAGTGGGGATTGCTGGCTTTCAGGCAGCTAGGCAAGAGAGAAAAAAAGGACGTGCTATGGGGGTACCTTTACTTGGGGATAGCAAACCCTTCTATTTCCGGATCTGGAACGGACTAAGTCAGAAGCTGCAAGGCAAAAAATCCTGGGATAAACATCTGGATGAAATCTACTTACTCCAGCAGAAAAGGTACGGTGCATTTCAGCCTTATTGTCTTGCTTTCTTCTGTAGCTCTCTCCCTGTAGCTGATTCTCACTCTTTTCCCTGAGGCTTTTCTGGCAGTAGATAAACTTTAAACAACCCTGGAGCACTTTTCTCTATCAGATTTCTTCTTTCAACATGGAATGCTTCTGGAGTTCCAATCTTATCTACTTTCACAGGTGGGTTTACAAGGTCGCAATTGAATTACCCTGAGTGCAGGGCTTCAGTCACAAATTAATAACTTACACTATTGTCTTTCCTGCTTCGTTGGTAAAGCTCACAAGAAAATGCATGAGGGTTTGTTTGTTTTTATAATTATTATTAAGACTGTGTGTGATGTATATGCTGCAGTCAGCCGAAACGATGGCTTTTTGGCAAGGAGTCTTGGCTTTCTGTCTCTCCAAATGTTGCCCTTTCTGTGGGGTAGAGTGGTCTTAATGTTGTTCCACATTCTGGTGTCCAGTCACTTCCTGGGTCAGACTGCTGTTTTTCACCCCCGTGTCCCAGGTGTCAACACATAACAGTGACTCTTTTTAGACTTTACATTATCAAGAAGATTGCCTCCGTCTTCACATGTAAATACTGAATCAAGGCTGTTTGATACTGCTGTGCAGGGATTCTCCCTCCACACAGAGGAATGCAGGAGTATTCATGAAAATCTAGCTGAATCTGTTTTTCATTGTTTCTTGTAATTTCTGTGTGCACAACCACTGCAGTACTCAAATAAGAAATTGGTTCTACTCCCTTGTAAAATTTGTTTTTTTCTTTCCTCATAAAACTCTGAACATCTCTGAGGACAAAAAGGTGGCTGTCTGGGCCAAAATCTATCTGTCTGTGCATATGTATGTATGTATACACACATATATGTATAGAAATAAGAAGAATAGTACCTTAAGAGGGAAAAATGTACATACCTGTCTTTAGGAATAGAACTTACATATGCTATCATTTAACTTCTAACCAAATACCAATAGCCTGTTCTATTCTACTTCAGAGCAATGGGACTTAAATACATTTAAAATGGGAGGGAAAATGGGAACAATAGTGTCTCTGTAGAACGCTGAAGAAATTAATACATTTTGGTATGTTCATGAACAGCAGCACAGGTAACTAAAAAATAAGTTCTCAGCAGATTCTGTAATATCCAAATGAATGTGTGCAAAAGAAAAGTCTAAATATACCAACATGTTTTATAATCATAACATTATCTTCACATCTTTTAGTCATAGAGATGTGTAAGGGATCTCTGGAAGTCTCTATCTAACCTCACACTTGAAGCTGGACTATTGCCAGCAACAGATCACATTGCTTTGTCTAGCCCAGTTTTGAAAGCCTCCCAGGACAGAGATTCCACTGTGTCTTTAGGTACCAGTTAAAGTGTTGTAGTAACCTGCTAGTGAAAAAGTTTTTTTTTTCCCTAATGTTCAACTTGAACCTCCAAAATCATCATTTGATGCTGTGGTCCCTTGTTTTACCATCTGCCGTTACCAATGAGGGTTTGGCCCCTTCCTTTTTGTTACTCCCTTTCACATAAGCCGCTATTAGATTGCCATTCAACCTTCTCTTTGCTTGACAGTTCTCATTAGTCATGTGCTGCAGGCCTATGAACATCTTGCGTGTTGCTATTGATAGAGGAAAATAGAAAAACTGTTAGGCATATAAACCCTTCTTCATAAGCTTCTCTTAGATCACTATAGTGAAACCCCAGTGGTCCCCAAAACTAGCATTTCTGTGTTTCTTTATAAAACTCTGAGCAAAAACACACATAGTGCATATGAAATCATTATTCGTGAAATCAAAGTTGCACAGGGACACAATTGTTCCCTTCCATTTTAAGGCTATGGGTTTCCCACACCTTTCAACTAACAAAAATCAACCTTCTGATATTTGATCAGAAATTACATGATGTCAATATATGGATACTGTTTTCCTAAAGAGGGACAGGACCATTTCTCCCTATTATTATTATCCCACTCTTTCCTTTTCTTCCTTGTCCCCAGAGATGCTTAGAGTTTGAGGAGAAAGTAAATGAACATTTTGCAGAGGACTGGTTTCAGATTTATTGCTTTCATATTCTTAATTATGTATAGATAGAAAAACACAACATGAAAACCTTCTGTGGTGGTGTGTATGGGAGCTACTCTTACAAAACCTTTGCTTTTGTGGAAAAACTGTTGTAAGCCAAGAGGGTTTTTACTTTATCTTTCCATTTTGTTGTGTGGAACTGCGGTGTTGTGGCTTCATCTTGAGCTCTTCTTAGTGTTAGTGGTGCTGGAATACATACAGTAATAAGCAGCAATTAAATTCTACTATTATCTTCTTGAAAGCCAGTTACTATTTAACTCCTGTGCTCTGACTGCACACAGAAAATCTGAAAGAGAAGAAGAAGGAGTTTTCCTGTCCTACAACTAGTGATGGCAATACCTGAAAGCTAACTGTTTTGGTAGTTCTTGCCTTCACTAGAATTGCTGTTCATTCTTTTTCTTCATGTGCAATAGTTCCTTGAATCTTATTGGCAGTTGGTCTCAGCGTTATCCCCAGTGAGGGATTTCTTTGCCTTAATGTTGCACTGTATAACATTTCCTAAAGGAGCATTCAAGTTCAGGAAATACGATACAATCTTCTAATACTAAAGAGGACTTTATTTTGCCTAAGTCTGCTGGTTTCTGTTCAAGATTCTCTCTTTTAAATAGCCTGTAGCTCAGTGTGGAGTCCCAGGGACAGTGGTCACATCTCATATATCCTTTCTAGAAATACATTTGGAAGTAAACTCTGGGATCTACATAGCTTGGAGCATATGAATATAAAACCACAACATAGTTCATAATCATAGCAGACAAAGAAATAAATACTTATGAAAATTCAGGCCTGATAGATGTGAAGAGGAATCACATGCCTGTCACAGTCTAATAGATCTTCCAGAAATAAGAGCCATTGCTTGATTTCTTTCATGTCTGGCTCTCAGTGTAAGAGGTTCTAAGGAAATGTGAACAAAATCTCCCTCGCATACAATTTTAGAAATTCCACCATATAAGAATTGCACTGTTCATTAAAAATAACAAATAAATTGCAGCAAGTGAGTATATGGATCCAGGACTGCTAGGTTATATTTTTCATTCTGTTATTGCCTGCCTCTATAATTTTCATTGATAAATAACCTATCTGCTCTGTGTCTCGTCTCTCTCACAACTGCTGCTTAGGGATTAGTGGCATCACCTCGTTTTCATAGGATGCTCTGAGATTAATTGTTTTAATGGCAATAAAATATTTGTGTGGTACATTTTAAAAAAATAATAAACCAAATCATTTTTACACATTAATTTACTATAGAAATCTGTGCTATGAGCAATAATGCATTAGGGGTGGTCGGGACAATTTGCATAACTTGCAGAGAGCTATGATCTTTCCAAATAGTACAATAAAAAACATTGTAAAACATTGTATCCCTGTTAGTTTCCTTTTTTTTTTTTTTATTTTTTGGCTCTTTAGACATACTAGCAAAGTGCTATGCTCACCCTGAAAGCAAACAGCCCACAGACATACACACATCTGACCTCAGTGCCTAAGACGTGGCTTAGACTCATACATTTAGGAAGTTATTTGCCTTCTTGACCTTGCCTACAGGTTTCCTTGAGAAACAGTAAATATGAAATCTGTGTTCTGAAAAAAAAAACCCATGCCAAATAAAAAAGTTGTTAGAGAAAACTAGTTTGAGACAGGGTGAGGAACACAATATAAAATAAAACTGTAAGAAAATCCCTATTGAATAGTGTTAGAAGTTTTGATGCAGGATGAGGTCATGCTTCAGAGAACAAAATTGTTTTATGAATAACTCAGTGATAATAAATAATAACTAACATCTGCTGAACTGTTAATCCAGTTCTACCATGAGATTATTTTTAGGATGGTCTCAGATACAGAATTAAAAAAAGGAGATTAATGCAATTAGATTTCCCTGCTGGAAGTGACTGAGAAAGATTTCTATTGCTTTGTGTGGTAGATGGCTAAATGTCTGAGGGGGTAAGACTTCCCTATCAGTTTCTTGTCTAGTAGCACTGGCAATTAGTAACCTGTTAAATTTATCTCCAGAGAAGCTGTGTTTACTGTCAGTTGAAGGGGCTTCAACACACATGCACAAGAGATTCCAGTTGATTTGATGAGTCTTGCTGTCGAAATTACTGAAGAAATTTGCTGACCCTGTCCCTGCGCTGATTGTCCAAGCCCCTGTTATCTGTCTCCTCTTCACTTTGTGCTATTAATTTGTAACTCATTCTTTAGCATCTTGTCAGATGGTTGCATTGATCCTCTTTCTGGCTGGTTATCTTCCTTTGAACACATCCCTGCTCTCCTCAAGTCTTGCATACATTTACATGAACATACTAGCAGAGGGAAGGGAGAAGATGAATCCCCTCCGGCAATTTCATGATGGAGGGTTGAGCGTGGATACACTGAGCAGCACAACTGGTAAAGAAAAGAAAGCTGAAATTATATTCTGCTGATGAATTTGTAGCTCAGCTAGAAAGAATAGCTTTAGACCCTCGGTGACTAGACATAGCTAGGGATAAAGCATGAAGGTAGCAGATGCCAAGCTTAAACTTGAGCAAACAATAGGAAAATTTCATACACAAGTAGTAGAGCCTGAGAAGAGAAGGAAAGAGGAGAAAGAGATGCTCCTCTGGTGAGCTTAGTCTTGAAAAAGAAGCTTCAGATTGGTCGTTGTCTAGACAGTTAACATATTTAACGTATTTGTTTTAAAAGAATAACCTTATAAATTCAGATTATTCTTTTTATAGCAGAACTAAGACTTATGGACTTGTCCTTGCATTTTTTATCTCTTCATAAGGGTAATGAGCAGTATGTGCTCCAAAAGAAGTGCTTAAGAAGCCGTAAATCCGTAAGGGTACATGTTACCAGCAGAAAGTGCTTGTGAAATCCTTAATCTTGTTTAAAACTATTTTATGTGACTCCCTCAGTCAGAATCTGACCTACATTCTATCTCCTCTGTTTCACAATGGATTTTCGGGTGTTCCTGTCTTGTATAGGTGACTATATTGAAAAATAGCTCACAGATTCCTGACCATATCACCAAATCGTCTGTTAAGAAAACTGACTGGTAATAACGCATGGCCAAGGCCTCAACACAGCTACATTCCTTAGCTCAGTAAGAAGAACCTAGGAGCACTTCCAGGTCACTGCCCTACATACTGGTTAGCTATGGAGCTGTTGCTTATCCTAAACTGATCCTGTAAGGCAACATCAGCATAGCCTAGTGTTACCAACCTAACATAGCTGACTGAATTAGGAGCTCATTGTCCCTTGACTCCATAACTGATGAAGAGAGTGGTTTGGAACAGGAGCTTAATTTCAATGTGCTGAATTATCTTCTCAGAGTGTCTAAACAGGTCTCTGCTGAATCATTCTCTGAAAGCCACCCTGTCCATCCAGTGACATAATGGTAGTTTACGAAAACTAATCATCTACTGTAGGCAGCTCTGTTAAGAGAGTAAGTTAAAGATTTCACCTGCTGCTGCTTTGACACACAGGAACTAGAGTTCTAAAAGTTAAAATTCATGCTGTGTTTGATGAGTCAGGAAGAAAATTGGTTAAATATGCAGAACTTAAAGAAATTGAAATGTTTTGAAAGTTCTAGATTCAAGTGACTGTTTTATTTCCACCTATTCACTAGGTGAATTTGGCTTATCTAGTACTTGACGGTTACACGGTTACCACATTGCTGTAAAGTATTAAAAATGGGTTGATAATTATAATGGTATGTTTTAAATGAGACTAAAATGGTTCCCCAATTATGGGACAGAAAATTAAATTAGAGTAAAAGCATGTGGTATAAAGAAGTAAGTCATGGACCTTTAAGGCCTCAGAGGCAGCGTGCCATGACATTTATCAACACTTCTGGGTTCTTCACCAGCTCGCTGCTTGGCCTAGGATCTCTGGTTCTTTAAGCCCCGTTGGAGGTTACTACATTAAATAGAAAGGTTTGACAGTTTTGCCCTAAATTTCTGAATGCTGAGTATAGCAGTTATTAGGTGTCTCCCTCTTAGCAGGTTTGTACTTTAATTAGTTGTTTACAAGGGCTTTGGAGAATTTTGTGAGAAAGGTGTTGTGTTTATGTCCTCCCACGCTGTCTCTTGCCCAATCCTTCCTCCTCCCTGAGGTTATTTGAGGGATAAAGGCCTACCCAGTAAAGCATCAACATATTAATTGTAGCATTGTTTATACTATTCAAACCCCACCTCCTTCCCACTTCCTGCCTCTGAAATATATATTCTCCAGGAACACAGAGTCTTTCTCAGCCAAAATAATGGCACAGGTGGCAAGCTTGCTTCACTGATATTGAATCTGACAACATTTGCTCAGAGTGCCTCTTTATTTTGTTCCTATTTGTGTGATCCTAGATGCAATGTTTGCATCAGCTCATCTTGTAATTAGCAACTAACGCAACTCGTGCCACTGATGCATGAGTAAGCTAAAGAAGGAATACTTCTCAAAGCAGCAAGCCTAAGAGTTTGAAGGACCCATAAAAATATCTCAGAATTGCTCCCAGGTTTGTTCAGGATGGTTCTTTATATCCTGAATGTTTTTATTTCTTCTCTGTTCTTCAGCATTTTTCTAGTCTAGTTTCTAGCAACTTAGAAAATGTGGTGCTGTTGGTGACAGGAAATGCTCCTATTATGGAATGATAAATATCGTGTTCAGTTATGCTTTTATTACTTGCAGCCCATGCCCATTGTTTTACTTTTTGAAATAATTCCGATTTGTGTAATTTTGATACTTGTTTTTTTTTGCTTTATCCCCCAAGCTCTCTCAAGTGTGTCAGTGTCTTCCTGGTAGATAGTTGTGCAGAACTTGCACAGTTCAGGTTGATTAAATCCAGAGATAATGGCATATCAAATAATTCTCTTTTTTTTTGCTTCAAGATTCTATTGTTCATAAAAGATAATTTAAAGCAGGAAATACATATTTCTGTAAGCCATTAGTCTTGTTACTAAATAATACCAGAATACAAGGAAGAAATCTGGGACATCACAAGGAAAAAGCATTAAATATATCTCTGGGCATATGGTTTAACCAATGTATTTGTCCCAGATGTTTGATTTTTTGTGTGTATGTGTGAGACTAACATCCAGTCTACTGGCAGTTGTTAGTAGTAGTAAAAGGACAGACTGGGGCTGGCAGAAAAATGAGTCCTGACCTTCTTCTTGTTCATATCAGCTTGAATTTGTCTTTATTCTGCTGTGCTCCTTAGACTTAATTCCATTACAGCTTGACCTGAGCCATGCTAGAAAATTAAGAACAAATTAAGCATCTGTACTACAAGAAAGTAGAGGTGAGATAAAAGCACAAAATTTGCATCTGAACAGAGATCTAAAACCTAATTTATCCTGTTTAGATACAGGAATCTCTTTCTATTTCGTACTTGAAGCCATGAAATGTAGGCTGTTTCTTTGGGCTTGAGTGTCTTTCTGTGCCTGACATCTTTGTCTCCTGAACATGAGCTCCTTAGAATTCTTTATCTGCATAAAAACAAAAATCCCCACCCCAAAACACTTGTATCAGTTAAAAGATGAATCTGAAAGTGTTTGAGGATAACAGAATTATTTACCCCAGATCAATAGACTTTGTTCTATTTTTTGTGAATTTTGGGTGGCCAAGTCATTATTTTGAGTATTGGCAAAACTTATTTGGGTATTGAGCAAGCAGGCATTGCAGGTTACTCTTTCCACCCTCCCCTCATGGTTTGGTGGCTATACTTGAAAATTCTTCATAGGCCCCAAAAGATCTACCGAAATAACCCAGAACCTCATGGAAGACCCAAGGCCATTCTACAACTATAAGTGAACAATTTCCAATCTGGAACTTGTTTGATGGCATGTGCCTTCCCAGGACAAGCATACATTTCTGTTCACAACAATTTCCTCATTTTTCTCAGCATCAGAGAAAAAAAAAAAGGTATAGCTAAGCTTTCAATTTTTTCCTCATGACTTTATATTATGATGAACTTCATTTTGGAACTCATTCTTTTAGTTATACTGTAGGAAGTGTTCCTACGACTTGTTGGTACTTTTTCTTTTCCACCAGTTGAGATGCTGCCTTTTTTTTAATTTATCCTGCTGTATAAAAAAAATACTAGCTTTTTCTGGCTCCCGAAAAAACTAGTCTACTGGCAGGAGGGGTATCAAATGACCCATCATTTGCACCTCAAAATGTGGGCTATATAAACCAGAAACATTCTGGTTATTCGTTTTTCCTTTCTGTCCCTCTGCTGCCACCATATGGTTAAGCGTCAGTAAATCAGGAGATGTTGGACTACCTGGGGCTTAAGGGCTGTATTTGTATGCTTTTGCCTGTTCTTTTTTTTTTTTTTTTAACATTCAAAAAATACCTCAGATGGTAGGTGTGCATTACTGATATTTCGGTGAAAAATGCTGAAGATACATACTGTCTCAAGCAGAGGCCATGCTAGCTCTGGAGAGAGGCACCATGTGTTTGACTGTGTTTCTTATCAACCACTTTTTCTCGACTGCAGAATCTGGGAATCCCCACTCCTCCAGGCTGCCAAAGAGAACAACCTCCCGGCCATTAGGAAACTTCTCACCGACGGAACATGTGATGTTTATCAGAGAGGTAACTCACTTATTTCTGACAAATGGCTTTCTGTGGAAGGCAAGACCCTGCTACAATGACTAGAATAGTATATTTGTTGGTTTGCTAAAACATTTGCATTAGCCGACTCAAATTACTTAACTGTATGTCAGCAGCTTTGCAACAAAGTGAGTTTTCTAATTTGGAGAGCTCAGGAAACCCTGAAGGAATGGTGAAGATAAGAGGTTTACAGCATGAACGGGCCTTTTTTCTGGAGGCAGTGAAGGAGGTGTTTTAGTGTGGAAGGTGGTCAATGGAAGGTCTGTGTGCTTATTTACTTCATGCCTATGTCTGCTGTGACTTACAAACACCTGGAGCCTCTCTGCAGCTTTCAGATTTTGATAGGGTGAAGGACAAAGACTATGCAGTTATGTGGCTGTTACCATGTCATCTGATGAAGCAGCACCTAGCAGCACTTAAGGACCCAGCACTTAAGGACCTAGCACTCCCATAATTCTCCGCCCCAATAAATCTATTTCTGCTTTTGTCCCAGATAGTTGGACATCTAGATGACTGACATACTTCTCGTACTGTTTGTAGGTGCGGTGGGGGAGACTGCCCTTCATGTAGCTGCCTTGTATGATAACGTGGAGGCTGCGGTGGCTCTGATGGAAGCAGCTCCCGAGCTTGTCAATGAGAAGATGACATCAGAGCTGTATGAAGGTAACATCTCAGGGAATGAGGATGGGCAGGATTTTCTACAGGAGGAGGGAGGAAGTACTTACCTGCACATGTAGGAAAGTGGCTTATGCTGTTCCTGGTTCAATAGATTGCTAAAATGTTACGTAGCAAAACCAACACACAAATGGCTCCTGACCATTCAATTAAACTGGAGTTATATAAAACTGAAAGTACATACATGTGCAAACATGCAAATGTTAACCTGCACCGTATCTGCAAGAGGGCTGGTTGGCTATAGTGGAATTGCAGTGTACAGTTGTACAGAACTGTACAGTTTGCTTCCTGCTGTACTCATGTGTAACAAAGGGGACACCTACGCGATCTCCTCCAAAAGGAGAAAAACTGGTTCTTTGGTTGACAAAGAATAGGTATTGAAAGCGACTGTGGCTACTGCTTTTGAATCTAGACTCCGAGCCAGGTTTTAAAGAATGGTTCTTATTGACAAGAGAGAAATGCCAGACAGAATCCTGAAACCACTAAGATAGTAATGACGGGGTTTTAAAAATTCTAATACCTAGTTTGATGGATTAGAGACTGTTATCTTTGGGAGCTTTGTCTTGACCTCACCTTAATGTCCCATGAAGGAAAGTATAGTCCTTTCTGAGAGACATGAGCTTTCAGTATGTTTCCTGGAAGAGCATGGCATGTCTTGTTTTCCCACAGAAAAAAGCTAGAAAGTGCATCCTGTTGGGTTTTTTTTTTGGCAGGTTGTAAAGCCAGTTTTCATGAATTCATAAAAGGTTTAAATAGAATGGGACCTCTGGAAAAGCTGTAGTCCGACCTTCTTCACACAACAGGGATATCTTCAAAGCTAAATTTTATAGCCACTGTGGATGTGGTTCTTAAAAAACCCAGATTTACCATGAGTGAAATGTGAACTGCAGGCTACTGATCAGCCTGAAGTTCCTTTCTTGGAAGGCAAGGTTTTATTTCTGTGTCTTACAGGGCAGACAGCTCTCCACATTGCAGCAGTGAACCAGAACATCACTTTGGTGAAGGCTTTACTCAAGAGAGGGGCCAACGCCCGCACAGCACAGGCCACTGGGCACTTCTTCAGGCGCAGCTCCCAGAATCTTCTCTATTTCGGTACAGCCTTATCTTTCCTCCTTGCTCTTATGGGAGGGGACCAGCAGAGTAATGAGGGAATGTGAGGGAGACTTGCTTTAGTTCCCATCTAAAAGGGATAAGCAGAGGCTCCTGCCTCCACATGTCATCAGTCACACCCCTTCTAGCAGACAGTAAGATTCCACCTGATTATGTCAATACTACATAAATATAAATATATAAATCATACACATTTTATTTATTTGCATGTATACAAAAAAAAAATATATTGCGTAAGAATTGTAATTTAATTTCTTCCCAACAACATATACTGCAACTCACTTGTCAACCTTCTTATGAAGATAATCTGAAAAGAATACTTCTTCCTTTTAGTGTTGTGTGGGGCAAGTCAGATGAGGAATCGGGCAGTTACCTGAAGTAACTCTTCCTTTCATAACCTCTGGCTTCATAGCATGGATAGCTTTCCCTCAGTGTGCTTCAACCTCTCCTGCCCCTTGAGATCTTAATGTTATTTCTCCCCATTCCTTTCTTTGCAGGAGAGCATGTTTTATCATTTGCTGCCTGTGTGGGAAATGAGGAGATTGTACAGTTGCTTATTGAACATGGAGCTGACATTAGAGCTCAAGATTACCTGGGTATGTGCTGTGGGGCCTAGTGAATTGCATACAGTGGATCTGGACCCTTTAAATCAGACTCTGTCATCTGTGCATGCACAAATTTCTCTCTCATTACAAACAGCTGTGGGATGAGGGATGTGAGGAAAATGAAAGCCACTGTTACTGGCATCAGTCAGTTGCCAGTCTTTGCACAGGGCTGGGCTATTCCCTATACTTTATGTGGTCTGCTTCCTTCATAGGTAACACTGTTCTTCACATCCTGGTTCTCCAACCTAATAAGACATTTGCCTGCCACATGTACAGCCTGATACTTGCCTATGACAGGAACAAAGAGGGACCAGGATCACTTGAATTGATTCCTAACAATGAGGGCCTTACTCCATTCAAACTGGCTGGAGTTGAGGGCAACACTGTGGTGAGTTTAAGTGACACAGTTGCCTCCATACAAAAGAGGTTATTCTGAAACAGAGAACTTGAAATAGCATCTTTCAGACAAAGCAAGTTTGTGCATGTTTTTAGTGAGTGGAAGATACATAAGAAGTCCTTTATTTTTATTTGCTAGAAGTCTCATGTAGGACCAGAAAACCTGTATAAGAAATTTCTTTATTCTAATGAAAGAAATGAGTGCTTAAAGAATAGATTTTTTGACTCAATTTTCGAAGCATTTAGGTTAAACAGGTATTAACAGAAAGATTCACTCCACATAGTTTTTTAAAAGTCTAGCAAATTATTGTCTTTGTTGCCTACATTTCATTACCCTAAATGTGACACATAGGAAGCTTCTTCAGGTATCCATAGACATTTATTCATAGTCAAAAACTCAATATTTAATGTAAACTTTCATCCTTCCCCTTAACAAAAAGACAAAGATGCTTAGTATTTATTCTGTGGATCCACAAAGGGTGGGATCATTTCCCTTGCCGCACCTCTTTCCTGATAACTTTTAGAAGAGCATAAAAGATTTTTTATCCCAAACTATACATAATTCCATATGAAATCTATTGTCAACATATATAACTGTGTCAAATAACTTCAGCAGTTTGATTAGAATTCAGGATAAAAATCAGTCATCCTTTACCTCAAGCATGAGCTAATGATCAGATGGGAGTCAAAAAAAGTTCTTCCACTTCTTAGCCTGCTATAATTGTTCCTGTGAGATATAAGAACCCCAAAAACTACCAAATTCAAGGAAAATACATTGTAATAAAGAATTTTTTACAACTTTATTTCATTGTAAATGCACTATCTACTGGAACGCTTTTGATATCCTCCATCCCCTTCTTTTCTCCTCAGATGTTTCAATACCTTATGCAGAAGCGGAAGCACAATCTCTGGTCCTTTGGCCCCTTAACTACTGTGCTCTATGATCTCACAGAGATTGATTCCTGGGCTGAAGATCAGTCTTTCCTTGAGCTCATTGTCTCAACCAAGAAGAGAGAGGTACTGTGAGCACCACATGCTTTCTATGTGCAGACCACAGTGATTATAAGAGGAGAAGAATAATGAGTTTAAAGGTTCAAGCTCTTTTATATTATCTAAGAGGAAGGACTCTGTACCATGTGCTACAGGGAATACATGTAATGTAGCAGCTTTTTAATGATCTGCCTACATCTGATGCTTTACACGCAGTTTCTTCTGAGATGTCAAAGAACTTGGTATGAGCAAGCTACAGGAAATTGCATTGTGTTACTCAGTAAAGGGTTCTCTCTCTTTCACCAGGCTCAAAGATACCAGTAACAAGGAGCTCTACAGTAGCAAATAGCTTTCTATAGCTGTGATACTGATTAACTCTCACAATGTCCCTGTGAGTCATGACTAGGTTCAGAAATCCTGACCTGGAATGCATTTTCAAACCGCTCACTATTTTTCTTCCCTTCATTTAATGGCATTGCTTGTCCAGGTTATGACTTGGAACAAAGTAGGTGAATTTTCTCTGCTGTAGGCTCAGAAACTTGTAAAGAGATCACTAAGATAAAAATTGCAGAGTGTAATGGCAAGCCTAGGCAGATCTGCTCAAGACTTTCAAGGTACACTACCCTATCAGTTGCAATCACCCTAAATAATCCTAATAGGAAGGAAATAAATTGGAAGACACTGTAATTAGCACAGTTCTACCCATCCTGTGTTATTCCAATCTATCAAATTTTCAGTCAAACTTCTCTAACAGAAGTTTCAGCTACTCAAGAGCTTTGCACAATATGGAGGAAGTCTATGAAACTCTCATTTGCTTTTATTTAAAATCCTCTAAATTTCTATGTGTAGTGATACATAAAGAAATTCAGGGGAAAGAAGTCTGTGTAAAAAAAAGTAGAACAACCTTAGAAGTTGTCCAGAAGACTAAACCATAATCCTCAAAGAAAGATGCATATTGTGCCTCTGTCTTCTCCCAAAACACAGTGCATGCAGATCCAAGATTTCAAATTTCAGAGGGTAAGATGTTGCCAAATACCATGAAATATTATGATTTCTTCATTTTCCAGAATGCTCTTAAAGATGAGTAATTGCAATTTTTTCATGCGTAAATAGTAATTATTTTTCATATTTGATATATGCTTGGTCCAAAATGTTTGCTGTCTCCTCTAGAAGAATGCAATGTGTCACCCCATCCTATCAATACCCTCCCAGTCTATTATTGGGCTAGAGTAGCATATTTAGGCCCCCATCAAAGGTAGGTTCCTTTTGTATTAAGGGGGGATGCCTACACGAATAGGTATTTTCTGACCCTTTAGTGGATGAAAAGTGGCAAAAATAGAAGGGAACTAAGCTACGGGAAGATTACAGTAAGCTCCTAAACCTATATCATCCTTTTGAAAATGAAATTTATTCTTCTGTGCAAAGCATTCCAGAATACTGACTTCTACACAAAACAGAGCACCTAAGGGTATCTAACTAGGTTCATTATTTCTCACTTCCTTTTGATCCTTTAGAGTATTTCTTCAGCCATTCAAGAGTAGTGTCCATTTACTGAAACATATGTATTCCGTGCACTTTGTGCAATCTGTTTTCTGACTTAGAGGAAGTGGGGCAATGTACCAAAAGAAGGACAACATATAGACTGCAGTAAGAAGTTTTCTTGTAAAGTAACCCACTTATGCCACTTTGATTTACGTCTCTTTCTTGCTTATTGCTGTGGTCCTCTAAACATTACAATAGGAAGAGGTCTAGCATTATTTAATAAAGTGTGTGGGTCAAATTCAAAAGCAAGGTGTAGAGTACACACTGTTTATCCTACTTATGCTCTAAGCATCAGTCTTCTAGTGGAAGCAGAAGGCTTGATATAGAGGATTCAATTAAAAATCACCCAGATAATAATGCAGAAACTTAAAACGTAACATCTTTACATAAGCCATGCAGCTTTAGACAAGTACTATTCTCATTTGGAAAAATGTTCCCATTTTAGAACCATAGAATTATTTAGGTTGGAAAAGACCTTTAGGATCATCAAGTCCAACCATTAACCTAACGCTGCCAACTCCACAATCAAAACCATGTCCCTAAGCACCACATCTACCTGTATTTTAAATACCTCCAGGGATGGTGACTCAACCACTTCCCTGGGCAGCCTGTTCCAATGCTTGACAACCCCTTCAGTGAAGAAATCACCTGATACAAAAGATATGCATCGCTGTTCTAACAGGAATATTCTGTCATCCTCAGTTCTATGTTCCTACATACAACAAAAACATTTTAAAAGTTTATCAGATAAGTTTTAGTTGTTAGTCTTCTCTTTTACCTTCTGATGCCATAAGGACTGAGGGTAATTTCCAATCAATTATATATACGCCTTTGCTTCCCTTTTACAGAAGAGGTCTTGTTGATATTCTGGCCGTTGGTTGGCAACCTCAAAAAGGATTCTTGGAAAAGTAGCTTATTGCTCATGTGAACCCTGCATATGTTTTGTGAGAATGGCCAAGTTAATTCTACCCTTTTTTATAGGTAGAGAAACTGCAAACAAAACAACACTAACTCTTAAAATAGCTAAATCCAACTGCTTTTGACTATCTCTCAAGTAGACTGAGCCCCTTCACCTGCAAAGCAAACTTTGACCCTTCATAAACATATCAGCCATAGTCCTGTTTCTAGACTTTGAGTATATACATATTCTACTTACATCAATAGAAATTCCACACAGGGAAGACAGATGAAGGACTACAGGCTCATTCTTCAACTACAGGAAGTCATTACAATTATGGCTTCAGTTCAGCTATACTGATTTCTTCCAGGCTGTGAATAGACCCTAAACAGTTATAATGAGACAACAGAAAACCAAAAAATGACTCCATGCTGATTTGCTAGGCTTGCAGGTGCCAGTAAACAAAATATCTTTATTTTACTTTCACTTTAACAGAATATGGCTTTTAACTAAATGAAAAAGAAAATTTTGTTTTGGAAGTACTTCAAGGTGAATCATTTGATTCCAAAGTAGAGAACAAGCTCTTCAATTACTGCAGATCTTGGAGGCCACAATAACCTGAGTCAGTATCATCCATCAACTTTATAAATAGCATTTGCAATTTCTGTGGAATATACTTCCTCACACTGGGACTCTATCTAGTTTATGACCCCTAAGGAATCATAGGCCAAATTTTTCAAAAGAACTCAGTATGAAAAGACCCTAATATTCTCTCTTTCATTTTATTCATATCAGCATAGTGCTGTTGTCACTACAATGTTGAATACATGCCAACAGTGCATTACATACTAAAGTTAACACCTTTCCCAAGAAGTTCATTCCTTCTTCACAGACTAGTTTACTAAGCAGAGCATCTAGTTTTGGGTGGGCTTGAGAGTGATTACTTTTTTTGCACACAATATTGTGTGTTTATGTCAGAAAAAATAAGCTAAAAAAAGTGCACTTGGCCTAGATTCATCCCATATAACTTTTGTTACCAAGGTGTTTAATTAGTTAATACAGATTCCCTAAGTTTTACATGTGATTGATAGAGAAATGCAAGTAACTAAGTATCTCCAGAGAGCAATTTAGATCTTAGGTAAGCTGACTAGCAGTCTGTAGGACCCTATTGCCTACAAGGAAAGAAATCTTAGGATAACCACATCACTAATGAAGATACCTCCTTTAGGTATCTAAAGATGTGATGGGGTTATTTGTAGTAGTGATACTTTAAGGACATAGATGGGGCAAAGTTTACAGGAAGAAGTGGACAGTTCACATAGCCACAATTTCATCTTATCCTAGGAAAATAGTTAAAAAAGAGTGGAGTGACATTGATCTTTCCGAGTTTTATAGTTGTCATCCCAGCACCAAGCCAATACATTCACTCTAAGGTATAGCTTAGCAATGTTCAACATAGGAAAAGAGGTTGAATTCTTTTTTCCATGTCATCTCACTGTATTTTCATTGTTGTTTATATGCATGTGTGTAAATCAACCAGATGAGGGCACTTAAGAAAACTTCTGGATTCTTCCTATTAGTTTTTGAAATGGAATTGTGTGATAAGAGAGGATTCTTCCCTCCAGTGCTCATAACTCCACTGCTCTTTTTATGGAGTGCCTTTGTCACTTCTAAAACTATGGCCTCAACTCTTTTTGATGAAGCTTTCTTTTTGCATAGAATTCCTCAGCCACACAGTATATATGGACATGTACAGATCTTTGACAGAAACACAACCACATCTTAAGCAGCAGCACTATTTTTTGTATCATGCAAGATGCTTACTGAAGATTCTGTTTATTCCTGGAAATGTATGTGGTCTTCTAAATATATTTGAGCTCCACCACTGCACTTGTTAAAAGAAGGACCCAAACTTTGAATACAACCTAATAATGTAGAGGAAGTAAGTTGAAATAGCCTGGGGTTTTTTTTGCAGTATATCTCAGTCTGGGTATACGGCAGATTTTATCATCATAGCTGAACGGTGAAAACTTTTGAAAACCCAGTCCATAAACAGGCTGCATTTAGACAGAAATAAAGGAACTTCAGAAATCTTTCTGAATCCTTTTAGTTGCCTGCTAAGTCAAGGTCAGTTTTTCAAAGAGAGTAAATGATCTAAAGGACCTTTTGATATTTTTCCTAGACATTAGGAGTTTCCACAAATGTTACTGAAGTTGATAGAAATAGCTGTTGAAACCAGTGTTAACTTACATGTACAAATGCAGAACTCCAATTTGGAGAAAAAAACTCAGTGAATTTCACACAGTTGCACAGAAACTTTTATTCTGTAGCTGAAAATAGAATTCAAAATATCTTATTTTCAATTCTATGTTGTAATAATGATGTATATTTTTTGCGGAGTTGTTTGTTGTAAAGTGGACTGTGCAGTCTTGCTTAACACAAAATATTATTCAAAATTGATTCCAGTTACAGTAAAAGACAATTAATGAACTGAAGTAGTTTTGTATTTGAATCCCTGGAGTTCAAAGGATTTGTAAACTTTCTTATACTGTAAACTTAGCACACCTGTAATATGTATATATCCTAGTATAATGATATTAATAATTAATAAATAAATTAAAATAATACCTTTTATTTTCTGTAACACATCTGCATATATTTGCATTCATGGACCTAGATCATAGGTCTGGCTCAAGTGTTTATATGCATCCAGACCTACACAGACAACAAATTTATTCCAGTCTCTAACATGTTTCTCTTGCACTTCCCACTGGTGCTCAAAAGCTGTTCTCTGCAGGATGTATTTTTTAACTTTTTTTCAAAGCTCTTTTCTGGCAAACTGGGCAAATCCAAACCCACTTGAGCATTCCATTTTTGCAAAATAAATTCAGCTTCCTATGGCCGAATAGAGTAGGTGAGAATAGCGCGTTAACATTCTCCCAGGAAACAGTGTGAATGATGCTTATAAACAAATATCCTTATGGCAATTCCTTCTTTTTGTCTTCCTCAGGCACGACAGATCTTGGACCTAACGCCTGTGAAGGAGCTGGTGAGCCTGAAGTGGAACATGTATGGTCGTCCCTATTTCTGTTTCCTGGCTTTATTCTATATACTCTATATGGTCTGCTTCACCATGTGCTGCGTCTACCGACCACTGAAACCCCGGACAGGCAACAGAACAAGCAGCAGAGACAATACAATCTATGTCCAGAAAATGCTGCAGGTACTGTGTCTATAGGAGTCACGACCCCAGAGGCAGCATTGGGCAATTCTAATCTAACCTACTTAACTGGAAAGTCCAAGTCTTTCCCCGTTGCCAGCTCTTGCAGCTGTCCTCCTTTTCTCTTTCCTCCAGCTGGCCCTTGTCAGTGGGGAACATTGGGTGAGCTCTGTTCTCCATTGCTGCAGCTGGGCTGGTTCTTATGGCTTTGTCAGCCTAGTCATGTTTATTGTGCTGATAGTGGGCCTTCATTTGCCCCATTCCCTTTTTTAATTTTCTTTCACTCCGTTTAAAATTTAATTTCCTTTCACCCTGAGTTTTGGGGTTTTTTAAATTTTTTTTTTAATTATTTTTTTTTTATTTCAGGAATCATATATGACGTATGAGGATGAGCTGAGGCTGGTGGGGGAACTGATCACAGTCATTGGAGCTGTAGTAATTTTGATCCTGGAGGTAGTCTGGGTATACGGCAGATTTTATCATCATAGCTGAACGGTGAAAACTTTTGAAAACCCAGTCCATAAACAGGCTGCATTTAGACAGAAATAAAGGAACTTCAGAAATCTTTCTGAATCCTTTTAGTTGCCTGCTAAGTCAAGGTCAGTTTTTCAAAGACAGTAAATGATCTAAAGGACCTTTTGATATTTTTCCTAGACATTAGGAGTTTCCACAAATGTTACTGAAGTTGATAGAAATAGCTGTTGAAACCAGTGTTAACTTACATGTACAAATGCAGAACTCCAATTTGGAGAAAAAAACTCAGTGAATTTCACACAGTTGCACAGAAACTTTTATTCTGTAGCTGAAAATAGAATTCAAAATATCTTATTTTCAATTCTATGTTGTAATAATGATGTATATTTTTTGCGGAGTTGTTTGTTGTAAAGTGGACTGTGCAGTCTTGCTTAACACAAAATATTATTCAAAATTGATTCCAGTTACAGTAAAAGACAATTAATGAACTGAAGTAGTTTTGTATTTGAATCCCTGGAGTTGAAAGGATTTGTAAACTTTCTTATACTGTAAACTTAGCACACCTGTAATATGTATATATCCTAGTATAATGATATTAATAATTAATAAATAAATAATAATAATACCTTTTATTTTCTGTAACACATCTGCATATATTTGCATTCATGGACCTAGATCATAGGTCTGGCTCAAGTGTTTATATGCATCCAGACCTACACAGACAACAAATTTATTCCAGTCTCTAACATGTTTCTCTTGCACTTCCCACTGGTGCTCAAAAGCTGTTCTCTGCAGGATGTATTTTTTAACTTTTTTTCAAAGCTCTTTTCTGGCAAACTGGGCAAATCCAAACCCACTTGAGCATTCCATTTTTGCAAAATAAATTCAGCTTCTTATGGCCGAATAGAGTAGGTGAGAATAGCGCGTTAACATTCTCCCAGGAAACAGTGTGAATGATGCTTATAAACAAATATCCTTATGGCAATTCCTTCTTTTTGTCTTCCTCAGGCACGACAGATCTTGGACCTAACGCCTGTGAAGGAGCTGGTGAGCCTGAAGTGGAACATGTATGGTCGTCCCTATTTCTGTTTCCTGGCTTTATTCTATATACTCTATATGGTCTGCTTCACCATGTGCTGCGTCTACCGACCACTGAAACCCCGGACAGGCAACAGAACAAGCAGCAGAGACAATACAATCTATGTCCAGAAAATGCTGCAGGTACTGTGTCTATAGGAGTCACGACCTCAGAGGCAGCATTGGGCAATTCTAATCTAACCTACTTAACTGGAAAGTCCAAGTCTTTCCCCGTTGCCAGCTCTTGCAGCTGTCCTCCTTTTCTCTTTCCTCCAGCTGGCCCTTGTCAGTGGGGAACATTGGGTGAGCTCTGTTCTCCGTTCCTGCAGCTGGGCTTGTTCTTGTGGCTTTGTCAGCCTAGTCATGTTTATTGTGCTGATAGTGGGCCTTCATTTGCCCCATTCCCTTTTTAAATTTTCTTTTACTCCATTTAAAATTTAATTTCCTTTCACTCTGAGTTTTGGGGTTTAGTGGGCCTTCATTTGCCCCATTCCCTTTTTTAATTTTCTTTCACTCCGTTTAAAATTTAATTTCCTTTCACCCTGAGTTTTGGGGTTTTTTAAATTTTTTTTTTAATTATTTTTTTTTTATTTCAGGAATCATATATGACGTATGAGGATGAGCTGAGGCTGGTGGGGGAACTGATCACAGTCATTGGAGCTGTAGTAATTTTGATCCTGGAGGTAAGAGAAACAGTGGCCTATATAGTCTCGAGTTTAATCAAGACAGATTTTACTTACTAGGCAAATGTGAGTTTGTGCTGACAATTTGGTAGGGGTCATTTGCTTAGTCTAAGTGCTTTAAATCTATGCCTATGGTAATAGACTCTGTCAACAGTATCTATTGGATGAAACAGAGAATGTGACAGCGTATTAGTAAGGCTCCAGGTGTGGAAGAAGCAATTAGAAGGGCTGGCAGGGCTATCAAATACTATCTGCAGGGTGATGACACAGTTCCCATTAGCACCATCTGCGGGTCCAGCTGAATCCCAGCTGTTACATGAGATTCTTAGACATTGTTCACCCAGCACTCCTAAACACTCCTGTGTTTAGGGATGCAAGCAGACGTCATTTCTGTGTGTACACAGAAAAGTTTGTATTTAATTGGAGGTTAGTGACTGTATAGGCCTATAACAGGAGCTTTACTCAACCATAGTTCTGAGGGGGACATGTTTAGCACTTTTAGGTGTTTTTTACACCATGAACTTTCTAAAAAAAATCAAAAATTCTTTAAATTAAAATAAATATATCCCCCACTTGATTTTATTATAATAAGAAATAGAAGATTGAAACTTTTATATGAGAAAACCCAAATGACAATGCCAGGGTGAACAGAAATGAAATGGGGCGTTCTCTCTGCCCATATATGTTCCAGAAGGACAGGCCTGTATTTGGTCAGGACACTGGGACTATGCTACAACTAACACAGTGAGTCTGAATTATAACAAACTCCTCAGATTCCCCAAGATCTTCACTTTTGAGGCTCAGCTGTTTGCCTCGTCTCTTTCTCAGTAATCTATATGAATTTCAGGCTCACAGCTCTGTGCTGCAACATCTCTCTGCCACATACCAAAGTCTCTCAATCTGCCCAAGCATTCTTAGATTTTCCAGCAATCTCTGTCACATCCCAATAGGGGCCCACTTGACTCAATCATTCATTTTTTTAAAGTAATACAGAAATCAATCTATGGAACAGCAAACAAAGCAGGTGCAGCTGGCCCCAAGATCCTTTGAATATTGGTGGTTACCATGACATTTAATAGTATAATGAAATCTATCTAAGTTCTAAAGTCAATAGAATGTCTCTCTTAGATCCCAGATATCCTTAGAGTTGGAGCAGCGAAATACTTTGGACAAACAATCCTGGGAGGGCCTTTTCACATAATTGTGTAAGTACACCACTTTTTAAGTGTAATAAATACATTGTCTCTCATTTTCCCCATGGCTCTTTTTTGCCAGATGAGTCAGTTTCTCCATTCTTTAAGAGTATTCCTTTTCTTTATTTACTTTTCTTACTGGCTCAACTAGGGTGTAGGAAGCCAGGTGAGTGGACAGGTAGAGTTAACAGTACCAAGAGGTCTCTGTCTTTGGGGCTATGTCTATATGAACCTGTCTTGGAATTTTTGAAAAGAAAAGAAAAAGGAGTGCAAGATTCCTTTACTGAACTTTTTTCACTTTCTCTTCTTCCTCTGCAGCATCACATATGCTTGCATGATTCTAGTAACCATGGTGATGCGTCTCACCAGCACAACTGGTGAGGTGGTGCCCATGTCCTTTGCTCTGGTGCTAGGATGGTGCAATGTCATGTACTTCGCAAGAGGCTTCCAGATGCTTGGACCCTTTACCATCATGATCCAGAAGGTATAAGACACAAACAAAGATGGGCTTGTTACACATACCCTGATACCTCTTTGCAGACAGGGAGAATGAAAGAATAATTTTTCTCCCTCAGGACTAGCATTAATGGCAAATGGACAAGTTCTTGTCTACACAGAGGGTTTGGGACTTTCACATTCTCTCTTTAGTGCGGAATTTTACTTTAGTCTTAGACTCTGAAAAATAGGCAAATGGACAAGTTCTTGTCTACACAGAGGATTTGGGACTCTCACATTCTCTCTTTAGTGCGGAATTTTCCTTTAGTCTTAGACTGAAAAATATTTTACATAGGGTTGCATTGTGGCTTGATGGGACAGCTGGGCCTTATGGTGGCTCTGTCTTTGCTCTTCAGATGATATTTGGAGATCTTATGCGCTTTTGCTGGCTCATGGCTGTGGTGATACTAGGCTTTGCATCAGGTGAGTCTACAAAAGGAAAACAGCATCATGTTACCCCTGCCAACTTCTTTAGTATGCATTAAGTATGTGGATTTTTATTTATTCTCAGGTTGCCCCTTGAGTTAGCTGGCAAAGGTGGTGATGATGTACAGCTTCTATTTCTTTGAGCATGGTCACTTTCCCAGTACTGTTTTCTGTTCTCATGAGTCTGGTTTTCAATTCTTGCTCTTTCCAGGGTAATAGAAATTAGGACAATCCAGATAATTCTACATATATATGTCAGGGTTTAAAACACACTGCATTTAGTATATTTGTCTTTGGAAAATGACATGAACTGCCATAGATTTATTATACCCTTGAAGAAGAAAAGATCACTATTTTGAGAACAAACAAATAATCAAAGTAATTCTGAAAATAAATAAAGTAATTCTGTGTCATGCATAATTCTGAGTCAGTGATTCTAGTCAGGGATTTGTCCTTGTTATGCTGGGTACTGCACTAACATAGAAACACATGCAGCTCCATCCCCAGACCACTTTGTGTTGTCAGCATCTCTTACAGGACCTTGTTGTTGCTCTTAGAATGGGATTCCCATTGTTAAACTCACTCTCTCTCTTTTTTCCTCCCATTGGTCTACTCTAGCTTTTTACATCATCTTCCAGACGGAAAATCCTGAAAACCTTGGGCAGTTCTACAACTATCCCATGTCCTTGTTCACCACCTTTGAGCTGTTCCTCACTATCATTGATGGCCCTGCAAACTATGATGTGGACCTGCCTTTTATGTACAGCGTGGTGTACTTTGCCTTTGCCATCATTGCCACCCTCCTTATGCTCAACTTGTTGATTGCCATGATGGGTGACACTCACTGGAGAGTAGCCCATGAGCGGGATGAGCTCTGGAGAGCCCAGGTAATCTAATGTAGGTTGTAGAGGGTTTGCTTTGAATAAAAAAGGGGAAAAGCTGTCCAGGAAAATGTGCTAGACAGTACAATTACTTACTCTGCCATTTGTACTCAAAGAGAGGTGCTTTAAAAGCTTTCCCTGGCCTGCACTTTTCTCAGGCACTAGTACAATAAGCCATGTCCTTTTAATTATCTTTTACAGCTTCTATACATCAGCCACCAAATTTCTTTCATTCTTTCTATGAGTGTGAAAGACTATTCTGCACGTCTTCCCATGTGAAACTGTCTTCCAGCATATCTTTGCTATGCAGGTTTTCCTACCTTATTTCAAATAGCAGATAGAAGCCCATCCAGACTTTCTTGTCCATCCTGTGTCTCTCTAGCTGTTTGTTCCTTAAGCATGGAATCTCTTGTTAAATAGAATTAAAGTTGCATCTTTTTTTTTACAAATCACATTTCTGTGTAACTGAGAGTTAAAATTTAACTATAGGGATTGACTGAAGGGACATCGAATGCAAGGTAATGATTACAAGTAGGTCAGTAACTTCTTAAGATCCATTAACAGAAGTTGGCATGACTCTTGCTCAAAGGACAAAAAAATTCAACCAGATCAGTTATATAGCTACTTAACAGAAAATCCATTTCCTGATATTTTTCTGTGAGAAAGCAATGTCAAGTGGTTAAATGTAGTTGTGTGGCCACGCTGATAAGTTCTGATGATAATTAATGCAGATATAAATACTATCCTCTTCTCTTGCTTGCAAATTAATTACCCTACTCGTTGCCATCAGATTGCTAGGTATAAAAGGAAAAAAATTTAATAGTGTTTTAAGAGCTCCATTGATTCCTCCAAAAATGGCACAGTTAGGACTAAAGTAGAGAATTGCCCTATAATAAATAGAGTATTGTCTCTATGATTTTTCTTCATTACATATGAAACTCTAAAAGTGCAGTAATGGGTCAGTATCACAAAACGGATAATTTTGAAAGAGAGTCTGATTTTTTTATAATTCATCTGAGTTCTTTGTGCATTTTTTTTATTCTAAAGGTTGTTGCTACTACTGTCATGCTGGAGCGGAAACTGCCACGGTGTCTCTGGCCTCGGTCTGGAATCTGTGGACGGGAATATGGGCTAGGGGACCGATGGTATCTCAGGTGAGTTCTCGTCTAGTGTGTGTGCATAAGGATCCCAGAAGAAGAATCCAATGTATGGATGTTAATAAAGAGCCTTTCCAGTGGCTCAGGGAAGAGTATTTGGAGTCCTTCCCTTCCAGAATAGAGACCCCAGTCTGTTTCTGTCTGTGACTGATAGACAAGCACTGCTCCCCTCAGAAAGCTCAGACACCAGAAATTGCATGGTCCCCTCAGAAAGCTCAGACACCAGAAATTGCTTATTGGGTTATAAGGCCTGAATTTTTCTTTCAAACTTCTTATAATGCGTATCACAAAGCTTCACTGCTGTGCATGGTTGGCTGTCCCTATGTACTGGGTGCATGAAATGGCACAGGCAAAATCTATCAGTTAGGCATTGAGCAGCAATGAACTGCACTACAGATGATTCAAAACCAGAACAAGAATAATTAAAGGCAGGATTTCTTTCTGGTGTGAACCTAGTAACTATATTACACTTTGCAAAGACTGTGTCAAATTGTGGGTCTAGGATTTCAGTTTAGACACTGAAATAACACACAAACTGTCTGTAGTCTAGATAACACTGGATTCCTTATTATTTATGATTTTAATCAATACTTATACCAAGGTGAGAGAAGACTAAACTTTGTCTTTTCTAACTCCATCATCTTTTGCTGATAAAGCCAGAAGGGGGAGTGGTGGCTGTATGTAATAGGACTTTCTGCAGGTTTTGGCAAAGTAACGAGCCTTACGGATTTTCAGGTTTGCTGGGCAGAAAAAGCAGACCTAAAGGTGTACCAATATGCAACACCTTTAGTCCAAGGTGCAGAATATTCTGCAAGATTCTGCAACTTTGCAAGAGCAATATCCCAGCAACAATTCTTCAATGGATACTATGAGAAAAGAGTGTTGATGTGATCTAATTCTGTCAAATTACATGTATGTTCATTGAATACAGTGTGGGATAGTATTACAGAAGACAAGTTATAAGTGATGTAGAGAAGGGTTGGGGGAGCAGTTGAACAAAAGTTTTGCAAAAGGTAAGTGACATCCTGAGGCTAGCAACCATGGATTATCAGAGGAGGAAAGACAAGAGCAAAGGAAATGGATGAATATGCCTGTATAAAAAAGGGTCTGGAGCTAGAGTCAGGAGGGGTAGGTTTGCCAATATCTTACAGCCAGCAAAATGGAAAGAGCAAATCATGACTGGGAAATTAGTTAAAGGACAGGAAACCACAAGCAGATAGGGGTACTGAAGTCAGTGATGAGGATGAAGGTCTAGGAGATAATTGTGTGCTAGCACAACTACTGTGCCTATAATCAGTTTCCTATTTCTGTGTAGATTTTCTGGAATGTCTGGGTCAGTAGGCATATTTTTGGAAGGGGCTTGCTTCTTGTGGTTGCTTGGTTTTGTTGATAAACTGGCACATTTCTATTTCATTCAGTTTATGTTTTTTAATCCTTTTACAGAGTTCAAGACAGGGTTGATCCCAACAAACACAAGATGATGCGCTACACGGAAGCATTTAAGGCTCAGGATAGGGATAATTATGACAAAGGTTTGGAAAAGCTGGAAATCAATAGTAATGTCGTGTGCAAGAAGGACCAGTCTGCTGTATCGTTGTCACGGAGCACATCCAGGACTAGTTCTCACCGTGGCTGGGAGATCCTGAGGCGCAACACCTTCCACCAGCTTCGTGGCGAGATTGGTCATCATGCCACAGAAGAGGAGGTCTATGATGTCTAAAAAGCCTCATTTTTCACTCCACAACCCAGATCACTTTTGCCACAACAGATGTCTTCTCCAACTATTCATACACACTCTAGCATGCTACACACACTTATCAGCCTTGAAGAACTCTGCTGGTGAACAGTTCATGACATCAATGCTATGATATGTGAATGAAGTCTTTTCTCTCCTACTTTTAGGCATCCCTGTTGTTGAACTGGTACTTGCACCAGCTTGATGGGCTTGTTGAGCTAAGGTCTGTGGTGGTTTGTTATGCTTTGTAATGCCCTATGGAAACAAGCATAAGAAGCCATCAATGGATTTCATCCATTTACAAAGATGTGATCAGTAAGCCCTCTCCCAGACTGTTACATACAGTATAATCTCTCCCTCCAGCTTCACAAGACACCAATGCTCTCATAGCAAAGAGAGCTGACTGAAGTTCTGTTTTATGATTTGGTACAGAACTGAAAAAAACCCCCCTGTAACTCAGCTCAGGAATGAAGACAGTTGCTGACACTGTGATGATTAAAAGGACTGTAACTGCTCAGCTGGCACTCAGGGCCTGACAGATTTTGCCCTGTGAAGAAAGGCAGTCACTATTAGCTTCATTTTCAATATTGCAATCTTAGCAGGACTGTTTTGGGTTTGGGTTTGTTTTGATTTGTTGTTTGGGGTTTTTTTGGTGATGGCTTGCTTTGTTTGTTTGTTTTATTTTGTTGTCACATGAATGCACTTTAAGCTTTTGAAATGAAGTGTTTGTTATTCCTGAGAGGATTCTGAAGGATATAAAGTGGGAACTTCTTTTGCTAATGAGAGAATGTATGACCTGGTTAGGTGACATTCAGCAGAGTGAATTTCAGCAGAGCTACTAATCTCCTAAGTGAGCTGAAGTTGGTCTTTTGTTTTCTGTGAAAGAGTAGGATTCTGAAACCATAGTTCTCTGAATTATTGAGCCATCAAGGTTGGGTAGTGAGCTACAATATAGCACTGAAAGAAATGGAGAGGAAATGTTGGATAGATGAATAAGAGCTATTGCAGAGGCAGTTCAGAAACTGGTGTTCTCTCTCTGTCTCTCTGAAAGTCTAAAACTATCCAATGAACAACTGAGTCATCCACATAGTTCCCTTCCAGGCATGATGCTGTACCAGTCTGTCAGTTTGTCATCTGCCTAGGGCCACTTTAAGAAAAATGGAGAAATGTTCAGAGAAATGGACTGTCATTTCAAGGTTTTTTTGTATTCTCAGGAGTGTGGAAAGCAATCCATGGTCTTAACATTTCCTTCCAACAGGACTGGTAACATAAACTTTGTTTTTTAAGAAACCAAGGATTATTATCTAGCACTAGACTGTGATAATCAAAGCAGATAATGAAAAAGCTGAATCCAGTGGATTTTTGATTGTATTGAAATATCACAGCAAACATCTCCTACATCTCCTCTCTTGCAGGTGCGGTAATGAGAGTCATGATCTTTGCAACTATGTGTGTTTATTTAAATGTCCTCTTTCTCTTACTTGAATGTGTATTTATGCTCCGGTGGAAGACTAACAGAAGACTATCGCACCAGAATTCAACTGCATACTTTTGAATTGACTCATCTTGTTGAATTGAGTGTTGCCTGGTCTTACTTACTTAAGTATTATCAGTCCTTCCCAAAAGCTTTAGGGTTTGTACTGGTGGTCTATGGAGATGGGAACAAAGTGGCACATTAACCAGAACTGTAGATTGCTGCTGTAATTGTAAATGAATTCTCTTTCATAGTGAACGGGAAATAGCAGGAAGTGAAGAACTGATGGCTCCCCTCTCTTCTCCTTGGCCCCAAATGTAGTAGTCTTTTCACTAGTTCGAAAACCTGCAGAAGTGCAATTATGATGGAGCCACATATAGCCATTTCCACAAAAAGACTCCTCTTTGTGACATAACAAAAATAATAAATGATATTTAAAAAACTACTTTGAAGTATAAGCTGTGTAAGCCCTGGTTCTGATTTTGTGTTCTTCTTCATTGCTATAAACAATAATGAGAATTTTGATCTTGGAACTCAAAACAACATATTGACATTGCAGGAGGCAGAACAGAACTCAGTTAACAGTGCTAGGCCTTCATAGATTTCTGCATCTACTCTCCGTAAAAAGAAATGAAGAAATCCAGTAGCAGATATTTTTAAGGAAGTGCCTCCTCTGGTAAAATTACATTCTGTAATAGCTAACTTTCAAAATCCTTGCACAAAATGCATGCACTGAACAGCATCAGAACTGTGTGATTTATTTCCTCCCTTTAGAATTGCCTAATTTAAGTAAGATAGAGAATCATAGGATTTTTGGGTTGGAAGAATCCTTTAAAGATCCTCTAGTCCAATCCTCCTGCAATGAGAGGAGACATCTTCAACAAGATCAGGCTTCTCAGAGCCCTGTCCAACCTGACCTTTAATGTTTCTAATGATGGGGCATCTCCCACCTTTCTGGGCAACCTGTTCCAGTGTGTCACCTACCTCACTGTAAAAAATTTCTTCCTGACTGCTATTGGAATTTGGCTTCCAGTTTTCTGAGATTACTTGCATATTTTAAAAAAATCCTGGAAAAAGACCTTATTCAAAATAGAGCAGAATATTTTAGCAATAGCCAGTGATTCCCCCATCAACTTTGCATAATCTTTTTGTTGATGATGAGTGGTGCAGACCATTTTTAGCAGCATTTGTTTGATCTGGAGGATGAAGAACAATAGAAGAAAATTTGAGGTGGGAAAAGTCAGCAGACACAATGGGCACAGTAGAAGCTGGAAATATTAAATTTAATATGTAAATGTGGAATACTTATCCTCTTCCATTAGGACATATACACATGAACTGTGCCCATGAACCTCAGATGATGAAGTAACAGGAGACACTAGACTCATATTTGAGCTTGTTCAATGCAATCTGGCTCAGACTTGGAAACAGCAATGACTACAGTCACATAAAGGCAAAGTACTTTTGCTGTAATATTCTGCATGAATGTGCTTCAGGATTTACTTCAGCTTTTTCCCTTTTTGAGTTGTATCCAAAAATTCCGAAACAGTATTGCTCCTCCTTGCTGTTGCAAGGTGTCTTTCCTCTCCCTCCTAACAAATTTGCAATAATTTCAAAGCAGGCATTCCTCTCCTCCTTGACACTGATAACCTCAAAATATCTTCTACTTTATTGAAGCAACTTCTGAGTTTATAATAATGTGATAAGAATGAATCTTTTGATCCAGTTGCTTGTAGTAAAATGAGAAGTATTTTGCTGAAAATAAAAATATTAACTATATGGAGTATTTTGTCTGCTTCTCTGTGTCTAAAATAAATATCATAGGCCATTTTTTGTGTTTGCTTCTCCAGTAGTAATCATGGACATTAGTTTACAAATTGTTTAGATTGTCATGTTTGGGTCCATGCTTAATTTTTTGGATTAAAGCTGTTTTTCCACAGCAATCCACTTCAGAAATTTCTTTTTACAAAATTTCTGTAAAGTTTCAAATACTGATTTCCAGTTCAAAATAAGAACTATCAAGGCCCTTATTTTTTTGAATTTATTGAGTGTTTAGTGAAAACTGCAATACAAGCTCTTTGGACAAGAAACCATATTTTCCTGGTGGTGGAATGACGTGTTTTGGATGGTGAGGTGATGGCACTTGCTATAAGTGCTTGCAACAAAATACACATAGGTACAGAGACTTTTCTCAGTAATACATATGCAAAACAGATACAGATACAGATACAGATAGCCCAGTTTTGTGTGTATAATTATGGTTTGATGAATCTGATGTTTATGCCATTTCTTAAATTGTTACTATGGTTTTCTTTCTAGCCTGGTTAAGGGCTTCATCTTATATTAGGCATTAAAGCAAACAAGGCAAAGAAACTGCAAGTCAGACTAGTGGAATGAATCCTGATTAATGAATTTCCATAAACTCCTACTGAAGTGCCTTCTGTGCTCTTGAAAAACTCAGCTGTAAGCAAAGGATTGTTGTTAGATGTCAATACTGAAACCTGACCACAAAAAAATTCATTCTTAATAAATGGCAGCGGAGACACTTTGACTCTAAAAAAAGTCCACATTTCCTTAAAGGCTTTTTTTTTCTTTCTCATTAGAGAAAGAGTTTCATAGTACTGCTTTAGTCAGAAAAGGAGAAAAGACTAACAGAAATCCAATCCCTGAAGCAATTTTTACAGTAAATCAATGAGAAATGTACATTATAATCTGAAAGTTTTCTCTTCAACTATTTGTTTAAACTGGTTATAAACTCTGAGTTCAGACTGGGTTTCTGAAGAAAGCTGCTATTGAGTTTTAGCTGTAAATGACGATGACTTACATAGGAAATGTTAGAACTTGAACTAAATGTGACAAATCCAAACATTACAAAGATGAAACGACTAAGTGGTATGTAATTAATTTTCTTGCACTTCAACGGAAAGATAAAATGACAAGAATTGGTTTTAAGGAGGTACAAGGCAGATTCAAGCAGAAGCAGAATTTGAATTATAATTCTGTTTCTTTTTTACAAAAGCTTTTACAAAGCAATGAGATCACAGCTGCTCAACATTTTCTCAGAACTCCATCTATGCTGCTTCTGCACGTAGATGTACATACTGCTTCCACATACTATCCTTTATGACAGACATGGGACAGAATTTAATGGATTCAGGTAAGAGTTAGTTCTTAATTCAGGCTGTGCTCACGGTGCTATTAGCTTGTTTGGTCTCATGGGGACAGTGCCCTGGATTGTTGAAGCAATAGAGACTGTCTCACTCTAATGTGATACACTGGGGATGTAGCTGAGATGCTTGAGAACACTGGCATGCTTATTCCTCCTATGTCTCAATGTTTGGGATGGGCCTTACCAACTCCCATTGGTAAAACCGCATGATATTCCACATACGAAATAATCCGGAATGGATCATAAATGTCAATGTGCGAAAGGTCACTTTCATGACCAGCATTGTGTCAACAGCCCGCACTGTCTCTGGACAGCCTGCACACACATATCTGGGTGCCAATCATAATTCTAAAGCAAGTGACCTTTAACAAATACTAATCTCACCAGGGAGGGGCGGATGGAAGGAGTGGTTCACCAGCTTGCTGACAATGATCCTAGCTGGACTTAGCGCATAACAGTTTCATCAGAGTCATGGCCTGGTGGAATCGCTGCTGAAAGAAGGCATGTGGTCAGTCCAGGTCATTT